AGGACGTTGCTTCACTGGCCCAAGTTGGCACCATCATTGTGCTCTTCCCGGGCGAGGCAGATCAGTCACTGGCTTCTGGACGGCCGCTCACAGCGGCTGCTGGCTAGTCATGCTGGCTGCTGGCTACACACGGTAGCCCATGGCAACCCACTGCAGCAGGGGCTGCAGCCTAAGCAGTAGTCAGTGACTCTCCGCAGCTCAGCTCCAGGTTGAGCTGTTGTTCAGCATCTTAGCTGTAGAGGGCAGTATCACTGGCCCTCATATGTGGGATCTGAACGTGGGCCCTCTGGCGTCCCAAGCCAGCTCTTAACCAACGTGCCACTCAGCGGGCCCTTCATTCCTTTTTGTGACCCAGTAATATTCCCTGTTGTGGATATACCACTTTCTGTTTATCCATTCACGTGCTAACAGATATTTGGGTTGTTTCCCAAATAGCCACCATTTGGTCCCTCTCCTGCTCAAACATCTCCCATGGTTCCCCATTGCCCGCAGGATAAACACCATATTGGGCTCTGGGAGAACCTGAGATCAGAGTGCGGGTGCCCCGTGGTCAGCAGGAGCGGCAGTCAGGGTCTAGGGCTCAGAAACACCAGACTCTGCTTCCACCAAGCCACGCCCAGTCCCTAGGCTCCCTGCAGGCCTAAGCGCCCACTGCTGGCTCTGGGGGATGCTGGGACAGAAGTGACGGCACAGTTTCTTTTTCCTGGGAACCTGCAAAGGGAGATATTTGGTTCAGGGTGGATCTAAAGCCAGGTGGTGGGAGGGTCACTGAGAGCCCATGTTCAGCGGCTCCACCCGCAGCCAAAGTCCGCCCTCCGCGCGCAGAATCAGCTCCGGCTTCCGACGTGGTTCGGCCTCATCCGGCAGGACGCGGAAGCGCAGCAGCGTCAGCGCCAGCACCGCCTTCATCTCGGTCATGGCGAAGGTCTGCCCAATGCAGTTCCTGCGGGCATGAGGGAGTAGGGGCTCAGGTCGCGCCAGGGACCTGACCCGGGACCCCCATCCCAGCCCGTAGGGATAGAGAAGGGGGCTAATTGTGCCTGGCACCTCCCTGTGGGCTGGCAATATTCCCTGAGCCCCACCACCCACACCCCATCCGGGCCTCAGACACCTGCTGGCCTCACCTGGGCCCCGCCGAGAAGGGAATAAAAGCCAGAGGTGACCTCTTCTGGGAGGTTTCTGGGTCGAAGCGGAAGGGGTTGTATACCTGGGAGTGGAAAGAGGCAGGGCTGCTGGGTGGGCTTTCTCAGGACACCCAGACACCCCCAGAAAACATATGGATACAGTGGAGGAGGAGTGTCTGATTTTTCCGGTCAGGACCCTGCCCCTTCACCAGGGCCTGGGAGCGGGGAGGGAGGGTCAGCACCTCGGGTTCTGGCCAGACAGACGGGTTGTGATGAACCCCAAAGATGCTGATGACACAGATGTTCCCTATGGAAGAGTAGAGGGTGGTCAGGATGAGGTCTCTGCTGATGGGACCATCACCCTCCTCCCCTTGCCATTGCCAGCACCTTTGGGGATGACCCGGCCATCAGGAAGCAACATGTCCTGGGTACAGCAGCGGGAGATGACCGTGACTGGGGGATGCAACCGCAGACTCTCCTTGATGCACATAGTCAGAAAGGGCAACTGGGCCAGGTCATCCCTAAGGAACACCCCAACAATTATCCAGGGAGCAAAAAGAGACACCCCCAGTCCTCCTTCTGCCCCACCTCGCACTGACCCTCACGCCTATAACAAAATTAATTCCAGAGGGATTTTTTTTAATTAAGCATTAGAAAGTCAAAAATCATAAGTCACTAGAAGAAAATGTAAGCTGGTATCTTTAGAAGTATTTCTGAGCAAAACACAACACTCACAGGGTATCCATAAAAGCGTTAATACATTTGCATAAAACAGTTTTTGGGCCGGCTGAGTGGCTCAGTTGGTTAGAAGCTCGCTCAAGAGTTTGAGCTCTGAGCAACAGCGGTTCATTGCCCAGCCCGAGCTGAGTTGCCAAAAGGTGGCAGGATGGCTCAGCTAAAAAAAAAAAAAAAAAGAAAAAAGAAATAGAGAATCTCTATTAATGAACAGAGCATCAGCCAACCTCAGGCCTATAGTCGGCATCTGCAGTTTAACAAGCTCCCCAGAAGTCTGCATGCACGTTAGAGTCTGAGAAGCCCTAATCATGTGATTTCCTACCCCTGCCCCCCAAGGTCATACAGTTCATGGGTGTCCATCCAGGTCTTTCCCTTGACCTAGCTACCGTTTTCCCTTACTACCCNTAATCAATATATTCAATGCAATCTAATAAAAATCTAGTTGTTGTGGTTCTTTTTTTGGAACTTGTTTATCTTATTTTAAAGAATTGAAGCTCATCAAGAACTAAGTCAATTTAAAAAAGAAAAAAAAATCAAAGAAAGAGAACTCAATCTGCCAGATATTAAGACCTATTACAAAAGTATAGTAATGAAAAAAATAGTGTGGTACTGTTGCGAGAACAGGAAAACAGACCCATGGTACAGAATAGAGTGCTTGGAGACCACACGTGAATAAGTGAAAATTTAGCATCCCCCTGGCCAGGAGTACTGTCTGCTACCCACACCCAGTGTGGTGAATTCATTTTTGCGGTTTCACTACCCAGTCTCACCTCCCTCTCTCAGCTCCAGCCTTGCCCAGGAAGGACTCAGATGGGACTGGACACTGAGTTGAGAAAGGGCAGACAGTGTGTATGTGTTTACTAAATGAAGAGATGGGTGATTATTTTTACCCCCAACGATCTATTGGGACTCCCTGGAATAGACTATTAGATGGGAATTAGAGAAAAAAAGCAAAAATTACAGGGAGTGAGGGTCTTTGGAAAAAAAATTGCAACTTCAGGCAGAAATGAAACAGAGGAGAGGAGAAGTTCATTTACTGAACACAGGCTGGATGGCATCTGTTCTACACACATTGTCACAATTCTCCAAGCAGCCCTATGGGGGAGATACACATGGACACACACACACACACACACACGCACACACACACACACACACACACACACACTTAATTTACAGAGGAAAAAGCTGGTATTCAAAAAACAAAATGGATTTTACTAAAGTCACATAGCAAGTTAGTGGAGCAATAAATGTGAACACTCAGATCTTTCTGTCCCAAAAGCCTGTAACATTTCCCCTGCTATCCAGGCTGGGTACCGAACCCTCCATCTGCGCTCTGCTCTCATTCCCACTAAATAAGAGGACAGGATGACAGAATCAACAGAAAGGTCTTCCTCCGTCATCTCCACATTGGGAGCAGAGCCAGTGAGAGGAGCTCAGGGAGAGGCCATGAGAACGTTCACTCACCATTCAATCTCTGGAGGCTCACGGTCCCTCAGGAGCTCTTGCACCTCCTGCCGGCAGCGCTCCTGGTATTCTGGGTGTTTTGCAAGGTTGTGTAGGACCCAGGAGAGGCCGCTGGCCGTGGTGTCATGGCCTGAAAGGGAGCCAGACAGGATTGGGTCTCTGGGCTGCTTCAGCACCAGATGGTGGACAGCGCCCTTACATTAAGGGCCTCAGGGAAGGTGGGGAGGATGGAGCAATTGGGTGGTCCAGAGCTCAGCAGCCAAGTTCCTGGGATAGAAAGGCTGCACCCCCTCTGAAGTCTCACACTGGGACCCTCACCCTCAAACATAAAGGTGTCAGCTTCAGCTCGAATGTCCTCATCTGACAATTCCTTCCCATCTTCATCCTTGGGAAAGGGCAAGAGACACCTCGAATCACACCAACTCTGAGGGTGCCTATGTCTAAGCTGAAACAGTCCCTGAAACTCCATGATTCAAGCAGAATCCTTCCCTCCTCATCTCCAGAGCTCACCGCACACACCTCCTCCCTGGCCCTCTGCCTCTTGTTTACTCCTTCCAGGCCGCATTCTACATAATCATGTCTACAGCTTATCACTGACCCATTCTTCCCTTCTTCAAGCACCCTCCATGGTTCCCCAGTGCCCTCTGCATCATGTCCAAGATCTTCAACCTGACATTTGAAATCAAGGTCCCTTCTACCTCTTGAATTCAGATCCACGAGAAGCCCACCTTGCTCATCAGGAGCACATCAATGAAGTCCAACATCTTGGTCTTAGCTTTGGCCTTGAGGAAGTCATCAACACCCTGATCAGAGAGGGTGCGGCGCCGCTCCTGGATGACGGCATCTGTGAAGTCATGCACCAGGCGGCAGGCCCGGCGGAAGCGCCACCCATCAGGGGTGAGGTAGTACAGGAAATCCAAGTGCAGGAAGATCTGCTGAGCCCGTTTGGTCACGAGGGCACTGAGCTCCAAAATGGCAGCAATATATTCACTAGGATTCCTGTAGGGCCAGGCCAGGGAGAGAAAACAGCTCCTTAACATGCATGAAACTCTGGGAGGCCCTCCCAGCCAGAACTGAGGACCAAGTTCCATCTGGAAAAGTGTGCCTTCCAAACATGCTCTCATCTCTATGAGCTGCTTCATGTCCTAGACTCCAGGACAGAGTTTAGGAATCATACTCATCTTCTCTCTCTCCTATGCAGTATCTGGCCCTGCCCATTCTTCCATGATTTCTCTCAAATCTGCCCCATTTTCTCCACCGAGCTCAGCGCTTCTTCTCTCTGTGGTCTCCTTGCATACTGTATCTATACAACAGTCGGTCACCTCTAGTCAGATGTCCAAGCTCAGCTTTTACCACAATGCTCATCTGCTCAAACATCTTCCATAGCTCTCTGGAAACCTCAGGATAAAGTTCATACCCCCTTTTCCTGGCTTTTGAATGTCCTTAAGATCCAGCCCCTGCTAAGCCCTCCAACCTCATTTCCAAGATGTCTCCTCACTATTGTACACTCGGCTCATCCTAGCCTCCTGGCATTTATCAAACATTGCTACCCACCTGAAAAGATTACTCCTTCTCTTTCCCCTTCCTTGTCCTTCAGTGTCCATCTCTGACCCACCTCCTCCAGGAAGGCACTTCTCATTGCCCTGGTCAGTCCTCCCTCCATCTTCTCCCTTGGGTCTATGGGTCATGTTCACAGGCTCTGGGCAGAGACTCACTCCTGACAGTTGCTGTCAAAACTGAAGACGCATTTCTGCAGACTGTCCAGGGTCATGAGGCTGATGTGTTCAAACATGTCCACACGGGCACTGCCCTTTGAGGCCAGGTGCTGCCACTTGGCCTGGACAGAGAATGGAGCAGAGATGAGGCTAGGACCTGCCTTCTTAGAGCCTCCCCGCAACACCAACCACCTGGATGGACTCTCCAAAACCCAGCCTCTTGGTTCGCTGCCCCAGGCACCCATCCCCAAGGAGGACCATGTTTAAGTGGGAGTATAAGCTGTTACTCTTAGGACATGAAGACCCCATGGCTTGGAGTCAGAAGATCTGGGTTCAAGATCCAGCTCTGTCTATTATGCTCTGTGTGTCCTTGGTCAACTCATTGCCCTCCTCTGGCTCAACCTGTCAAATCTTCAGTACCAGTTAAGATGGCCTGCTTTGGTGTCAGACAAACCATGGTAGAAGCTCTCATCCACCACTCAGAGCTAACTTGCTAGCTACGTGAACTTGGGCTAGCTCCCTAACCTCCCTGGCCTTCTGTTTCATAATCTGTAAAGTGGCAATAATAATCATCTCTCCCTGACAGCATTGTTAAAATTAAGTTAGAAAACATACGCCATAGAATTGACATATCATTTCTGCTATACAGTAAATGTTAAGTAAGTGTTAATTATCATCATCTTCTTCATCATTATCATAGTGGTAGGTGACTGCAAAAATATCCCCATTTCTTTGTCTTTCCCTATATCCTCATCCTTTGCACAATGAGACCTTGCAGCTCTTTCATTCAGAGGTAGAACCTCTTTCTCCACCTCTTGAATCTGAGCTAGCTGTAGGGCTTGCTTCAGCCAATAGGAGAGGATGGAAAGGATGGTGTGCTAATTTTGAAACTAGGCTTCAAGAGCTACTTCACGTTTTTGCTCATTCTCCTGGGATGTAGTCTCCACCAAGCGAGTGAGCCCAGGTTAGCTAACTAGAAAGACAAACACAGGCATCCAGTTGTCCCACCAAGGCCATCGTAGATGAGCTGGCTGAACCCCAAACATGTGACAGAGCTAAGCCTGGACCAGCAGAGCGGTCTATGGAACCCAGCCATGACCATAAACATTGAGTGATTCTAGCCAAGACAAGAACTACTCGACTGATCCATCATCTTATGAGGAATAACAGACACTAATTTTTTTCAAGCCCATGAGTTTTAAGGTGGTGTGTTATGCAGAAAGAGCCACTATTCAATCTTCATCATTACCATCTTGAATCTAGAGGGCTTCAGTGAGCAGACTAGAAACTAAAGCCTTCTGAGCACTTACTAGTGCTAGGAACATGATTCCATTACAACATCTTGACCACCCTTTAAAAGGGATTATTATCTCAATTTTACAGATAAGGAAACTGAGGCTTGGCAATGAAAAGCAGTGGCCCCAAAGCCATTCAGCAGAACAAGGACTCTCCGAATGATATGTGTCTGAGGCCACTCCCCCTTTCTTAAGGCTCCAGCTGGGACTCTGGGTTCAAGGAACTCACATGCATGATATCTGCGCTCTTGTTGAAAATCTTCATATAAGGCTTTAAGATTTCAAAGTGGAAGGCAGGCGTCAGCAGGTGGCGGTGGTGCCTCCACTTGTCACCAGCACTCAGCAGGAGCCCATCCCCTAGTAGAGGCAGCCACAGGGGAGTAGGCAAAGTCAGCACCTTCCCCTGGCCCCCAGAGCTTTTCCCCAACCCCCTTCACCCATAGTTACTCACCCAGCCAGGGCTTCATGAAGTTGTAGAAAATCATATCCTTGGGCGCGATGGTAGCTGACGTGAATGAGAATCATCAGGGGCCATGGAGAGGGGAAGAGGAGGGACATTTGGTGGGGAGAGAAGACTCCGAGACAGGGGTCTAAATTCCCCCTCCAACTCAGCATAGCAGGAATGGGAAAAGGGCAGAGGAAACAAGGAGGAGGGGTGAGGTGAGGGAGGACCAGACCAGGCTGAGGCACAGACAAGAGCAAAGGCAGAGCCCACAGACATACCCCTACATGCTTAGATGCAGCCCAACATGGAATAACAAGCTCAGCACATCTTGACATCGCTTCTACATGGTCCAGCATGCTGTACACACCCAAACATAGCCCAGCACTCTACAAAACACCTTTACAGGGGTTTACAACATCCTGTCTGTCCCAGCACTCTGTGACATCTCCTGGGACATCTGACATGGCCCCAACATGTGTCAACATGTTCTGACATGGCTCCAACATGTATGACACTCCCTGACATGAGGCAGCATGCTCTGACATGGAACCAAAGACATTCTGACATGACCTCAGTGTGTCCCACAGACGGGCCCCAGACAGAACTTAAATATGGTCCCATTAATGTCCTAAACATGGCTCAGTTGTGACCCAGACTTCCTCAGTATTCTCCTGCATCCTACACTCAGCATAGTTCTTAGCTCCTCTATCCTTAAAGAGACCAGAGGCTGCTGTCCCCCACTCCCAGATGCTGAGCTTCGCCCACCATGAAGAGCTGCCACTGTTCCCTCTAGACCAGCCCCCCAGGACCAACTAGACACAGTTAACCACAGTTCCCCCTACAATACTCTGGCCATCTTCCCACCCCACATCACCTTCTAGCTTAGGGTCCCTCCCATCAGAGGCAGCTAAGGACATACAGAACTAAGGGGGAAGCTTCAGCATGCTCTGTGGCCTTGAGAACTCGCTATGCCTCTCTGAGCTTCAGTTTCCTCACTCAGGAAATACCCACCTCACAAGGATGCTGGTGGATGGACATCTAGCATCTGCCTGTCCAGTGTCTGACCCCTTCTCATGGAACCAGCACCCCATTCTTCCTCCACTCTCAATCCAAGTAGTTAGGATTCTTCTATTCCAGAGCTAAGCATATGACCTTAGCCTTGGCAATCAAGTTGCAGTGATTAGATGAGGAATTGGTCCCTGTGAACCTGGCCAGGTCACTGTAAGGAATTTTGCAATTTTCCCTAGTCTGTGGGGAATTCGCTCACTTTTCTGTGGGGGTTGAGCTCTGGGACACATCTTTACCAACACGAGAGTGAATTCAGCAAGAGGAACACTGAACTACTAGATGAAGGTAGATTTCTAATGGCATTGTTTGAAGACCTGGATCCAGCCATGCCTGAAGGCAGACCTCCCTGAGCTTTCCAGTCAATAGATTCTCTTTCTTTACATAGAGCAACAGTGTTGAATTCCCATCACTCAAAACTGAAAGACTTTGGCAATAAGAACGAGCCAGGGACCTTCCCAGAGTCATCCAGCAGGTTAGCGTCACAGCCATGGTCTTTGTCAACATTTCCCATTCCCCTGCTCAACCTGGTCTGTCCAGGGGTGGAAAGGGCTGAGGTGAGGGGCAGTATAGAGGCTGGAGTTGAGGGGTCCTGGGAGACATACCTGGGGCCTGGAGCACTGGGGCAACAAACTTAGGGTGGACGAGTCGCACGACAGGGTAGAAGGGCCCAATCCACCAGACATGGACATCGCGGAAGTAGTGGCTCAGTTTCTCCAACAGACGTAAACCCTCCTCATCGATTGTCACCTGGGAATTGGTGGGGATGAGGCCACGCCTGGCAGGGGGCCTCAGGAGCTACAACTGTCACTGTACCCCCCAACCCACCACATCCCACTCACCTCCTTCACCCCTTCTGCCTATAGTATTGGCCTACATTTGTCTCCACTTCACTGAGTCAGCTTCTCTCTGTTGGCCTTTGTTTGCCTTTTTCTGTGTCTATCTACCTATGTGCCTTTCCCTGTCCCCTCACTCTCTTCATCTCTCTGTTTCTTTAGATAATAGATTAATAGATTAGATAGATGAATAGATAGATAGATAGATGATAGATAGATGATAGATAGATAGATAAGAGATGGATGGAGAGGAATAGCCTGCTCAAAGCCCTGGAGCAGAGAGCCAGCATTTGGCCATGAGCAACAAGGAGTTCAGTGCAGCCAGAGTGAAATAGGTGAGGGTCAGAGAAAAGGTGGAGAGGAAAGCAGCTGTAGCAGGGCCTCAAGACTGCGTAGAGGTAGAGGATTGATTCTGAGGGTCCTGGGGAGCCATTAAGTTTGTGGAGATGAGGAAAAACAGATGGGGAGTTGGAGAGATGGACAGAGAAATAGGAGCAGAGAAAGAGATACAGAGAAAGAGTGAGGGAGCGACAGAGAGAAGGACACATAGGAAGACAGATAAAGGAAGGAGAAGAAATGAATACATACACAGGTACACATACTTCTATCTCATATGTATGTATGGATGTATGCATTCATCCATCCATTATCTATCTATCATTTATCCATCCATCATCTAATCATCTATTCATCCATCCATCCAACTTTTATCTATCCATCATCTCTCACAGCCTATCTATCTATCTCTCCTAAACCTATGAACATGCCCATCAATTGTGCCACTTGCAAATGAGAAACTGAAGCCACATCCCCCAAAAGGGGAAGGAGAACAAGTCGCCTCCTGGCCAGGGAGCCTCTCTAGTCCCTTGGGATACCCCATCAGAGCCTGACAGATACCCCCAGGTGCTCCAGGCAGGTAAAATAAGCCATTTTCACTTTGTGACCCGCTCCCTGCTCTCCGAAGACCCCGAGGCATTGAATGAGATTGCTCCAGAGTGAGAGAGAGTAACTCAGCTGAGGTCACAAAGCACGAGGGACTGAAGAAGGGAAGCGTGACCAAGGCCAGCCCCCATGGCCAAGCCCTCAAAGGGGAAGGCAGAGCTACTGTAACTTTATAATATTCCTGCTGCCCCCAGGGCTCACTGAGACTATTCCAGGACCCAGACTCTCAGGCAATCTTCAGCTTTCAGGATGAGCTTGGAAGGTGGTGATGGAGCTCAAACAGGCAAAGGTTTTCCAAAGGGCCATGTACGGAAGCTCCATTGGCAAGAGACTTCAGCCCATGTGCAAAGGATGGAATTAAAGTTAAATGCATTCAAGGAAGTGGGGTCAGAAGGAAGCTGTTGAAGTGGAATATAGAAGGGACTGGACATCCCAGCAGGGTCTAAGATGGGAGAAGAAGAAAGAAGCTGGAAGGAAGAGGGGGTTCTGGTCAGAGGATCCAACATTCAGATCAATAGCTTTGGCGGTAGCACCTTCACAGGTGACGACAGAGTCCAAAGTGTGATTGTGGCAAAGGGGTGGGCACAGCATAAACAAAGGGCCTCTGGGCATGGGGCTAGGATTGGGGGGCCAGGAGACCCCTCCCACAAAGTTTGACCATGGGGGCAGAGTGATTCCTTCTGAATGAGAAGTAATCAACTTTTACATAAGTTGGACAATGAGGCCCATTAATATGTCTGGGGGATGGAAGGCAAGACAAGAAAAGGGAGGTGCCTGAGAAAGGGGAGGAGAAGGAAAGACTGTTCACACCTCTCCTCGGGCCCAGCTGTGCCCCTGTGAGGGGAAGGGATGACAGAGGTCATAGGTAATTCCTTTGAGGATGAAGAGGCACAGAAAGGAGCAGACACTGGCCTGAGGCCAACAGAGATGGGCCAGGCAGAGAGCGGACCCCGAGGAGGTCTCAAATCCAGTAATGGAGAATGAGAAGACACCAGGGGACCTGGCTCTGTGCAACCCACCCTGTGAGCCCCTCAGAGGAGCACTGATGGGGCCACGACAGGCAGGACATGACCCAAAGCAGGCTCTGGGTAAGGAAGGGTAAGAACAAGAAAGGCATTGGGTCATGGAGTGCACAGACGAGAGGAACGGGCTTGGTAGGGGAGTGAGGAAAGGGCTCTCTCGCTTCTCTGCTGCCCTAGATTCCAGCCCAATCCCTGAGCCCCATTTCCTAACCCTTTGGGAAGTCCATTCACCCTGGTACCCCAGACTTGTCCTGCTGCCCACACTCACCAGGCCCAGGTGACCCCAAAACCAGTTCCGCTTTAGGGGCTGCGGGAAGCATCGGAGGCGGCAACAGTTGTCATAGAAGGTGTAGGCCCAGGCCAGGAAGCGGGCCAGGAGCCAGGAGGCCCCCACCAGTAGCAGGAGCTGCCACGGGGAGGCTGCCAGTGGCCCCAGGCCCAGCCAGGACAGGCTCAGCTGCAGCATTCTGCAGGGCACACAGAGGGTGAGCTCCTGGGCCAAGGACAGGGCGGTAACAGTGAGCTCAGAGAGGGAGACAGCTTACAGCTAGAGGGAGAGGGTCAAGGGTGTGAGGGACAGGAAGGGGCCGGGATGGAGGGATGG